GAGGGAGGGGAGCGCGACGGCTCCGGGAGCGGAGCTTGGGGCCCGGGTCGTGAGAGCGGAGAGGCGGTGAGGCGGCCGGGGCCGGGGCCGCGCACACACACACCTCACGGGTGGCTTTCGGTGCTGCAGGTCTGTCAGCTTAGTGAAGGGTGCTGAGAAGGTAAACTTGTTTGGCCTGGCTTGTAATGTGAGAGTAGAAAGCGCTAAACTGAGGTTCGTGGTTGCTGTACTTTTAAATGTCACTGGTCGGGACTTAAGTTCTTAGTGTCGCTGGAGTATAAGGGAAGAAAAAACCCTTTGAGCTTCAGAGCAGTGGTGTGACTGGAAGGCAGGGATACTCAGGGCTCTAGTGGAGGATAATAGAAGAGCGTTCAGCAGAAGGTGAACGCAGGAGCTCCGTTTTCAGTGATCGTAAATGTTTTAGAATTATCAGGATCTCTGTTTGCTTTGATATTTCTAGCATTTACTCTGAGGTATCTGACTTTCTTCAGTATGGAAACTGGTTTAGCCTCTTGGACTAGCACTGCTCGTGTATGTTGATACCTTATCCCCACCATCTATGTTGAAGGAGTAGGTTAGTGGGGGCATTTGTCACTCATGTGCTCAGTGATTAAGAAGCTAGTAGCAGTAATAGTGTGACCATGTTAAGAACAGATCTGCAAAGAATTGTTGAGAAAATGCTGTGCTGTTTTCCAGTAAGTGATTTGTCTAGGGTTGTGTCATCAGGGCAAGTGTATCCGTTTTGCATCTTTCCTAGAAGAGCTTTTAGGGAACTAATACTATACACTAGACTGCTGTATATATATATATATAGATATGAATAAATATGAAATTTTTCGTAGTCTATATATTTTAAAACTTCTGAACTTTATTTTTTATTTTACCTGAAATTTTTGGTGAAGTTCAGTTTTGCTGATGTCCTGTGCTTCAAGTGTCATTGCATTTCCCTAAATAAGAAATTCCAGGACTCTTGATTCCAGGTGCTGTAATGAAACTGGAGCTTCGTTGTTTGAGAACATGCAGGCTTAAACCAGTTTAAATGGATTAATCTGCTTTAGTACAGGACCTTACCTTTTGTTATGCAGCTCTTGTGATCAAGCAGTGGGATTCATCCACCTGCCAAAAAAAATTCGCTTGTGCAATAAACAGCTTTGCATGTGTGTCGGTAACAGGGAAATGGAGGGTGTAAAATCCAGTCCATGTGACAGTATGTGAAGGTGACTTCCTGAAACTTCATAGCTAAGCTTACATTGAAATTTCAATGTTTCAATTTGCATAGTTTCTGCTTGTATAGACATTACATGCGTCTCATTTGGTATTCTGAAACACTCCTCTTTTTCTTCCTTACAGGTTTTGTTCTGCCCAAAGGAATTAAATGACTGAAATTACAAATACTTCCAGTTTCTTCCTGTGAACAGCCAATACCAATATGGAGGCGTAGGCGCCTTAGAAGGGACTTCAGTCTGAGCTCTGGGAGGTAGTTCTGTGCACAAATAAAGAAACTAAGGATTCAAAAAATCACTATTATCTTTTTAATCTGTGGATTCTGTTTGCTTCTGTATGCCATAAACATGGCATACAGGAAAAACTCAGTTCAGCTGTATAAAGCATTAGAATGTCCCAACACAAGACAATTAATTTATGTTAAATTTGATAACTCTATAGTTGTAACCAAGGCACCAGGTTAAAACTGACATGCTCTGTTCAGTCTTTGCTGACACTGTTATAACCAGAAAAGCCTTGGGCTACTCTAGGCTTGTTAATTAAGACAGTTCACGCTTGTCAGAGACAGTATATAGGGTTTGTTCATCTCATAGCTGAATATTCAGTATATGCAAAGTTGAGTATAAACTAACTTCTTTAGTTTTAACAATTATTACAACATTATGCAGAAGTTGAAGGTTTTTCTTGGAAGTCTAGAAGTAGCAAATATACCAGATCAGTTCAGTAGTGTCAGCTCAGGGGCTCTTTTTGCTTGTGCCTTTTGAGCTTGATAAACCATTTTTTTTGGCCTCCAAATGAGGTTTACAAACTAAAATCTTTGTTTGTATGAGCTGCGTATTTCTTAGCTGTCTAGGATGAAATAGTTCTTAAATCACTTAACATATATTCTGGTGAAAAATGAACTCATTTTAGTTGGTCCCCATTTTAGTTTCTTTATTGACAAAGGATTTTGATAAACCCATGTGATGTTTTTCCCATCTGGATCCCATCTCCACTAGCCTGACAAATTGGTAACTGCTCTCCCAGATACGCAGTACAAGGAAAGCATGTGATGCCTGCATGAGTCAGGGGAAAGTCCTTCACACGCTTTCTTCAGCTGTCAAAATGGGATGGGGCAGCTTTTGCCCTGAAAGCAGTTGTGTAAACTGAAGTACAAGAACTTCCCAAATTTTTAAAGGGTGTTAATTGTGAGGCTGATTCTATTCGCAGAGGCATTCAGAGTTGTACATTAAAAGTATTTCATTTTCAGGTTCTTGCTTTTGTCCAGGCAGGGGTTATTCCAAATTGCCTTTCATGCACACAACTACCTCCCAGAGGAAGACTTGTCCCATTGTTCATAATGGACTGTTCTTGGAAGATTATGGAGGACAGTCCCCTCTTGGCTAACGTCGTGAAGCAGAGTGCTTTGTGTCACGAACTAAAGTATGACTTATCCTGTGAACTCTACCGCATGTCCACCTTTTCTACCTTCCCCCCTAACGTGCCGGTGTCGGAACGAAGTCTTGCCCGGGCTGGCTTTTATTACACTGGTGTGCAAGATAAGGTTAAATGCTTCAGCTGTGGCTTAACATTGGACAACTGGCAACCAGGAGATAATGCTATGGAAAAACACAAACAGCTGTATCCCAGCTGCAGTTTTGTTCAAGACATGCTTTCAGTTAATGAGCTCGGGCTGTCCTCTTGTTCTGCCATTTCCCCTAGGTTCACAAACAATCTCTCACCATCTGTACATTCTGTAACGCTTTCTCCAAGTTTAGAACAAGTCGGATATTTCAGTGGGTCTTTTTCCAGTTTTCCTCAAGACCCAGTAACTACTAGGGCAGTTGAAGACCTTTCGTTCTTGAGGCCTAAACTTCACAACCCTTCTATGAGCACAGAAGATGCCAGGCTGCGCACTTTCCACTCGTGGCCACTGACATTTCTGTCGCCCACTGATCTGGCAAAGGCTGGACTTTATTACGTGGGGACAGCAGACAGAGTGGTTTGTTTCACCTGTGGTGGTCAGCTGAGTAACTGGGAACCAAAAGATAATGCAATGTCGGAGCACCGGCGGCACTTCCCTGCCTGCCCTTTTGTGGAAAACCTTACCCGAGAGCTGTCCAGTTTCAACGTTTCAAACGTAAGCATGCAAACCCATGAAGCACGTGTTAAAACATTCATAAATTGGCCAACTAGAATTCCAGTTCAGCCTGAACAGCTTGCGGATGCTGGCTTTTACTATGTAGGTAAGACGGACTGAAGTCTCTGCTTTTGTTCATATTGCGCTGTCAGCACTGACTTTAAATTGTCTGTATGTTTGCTCGATCTTTTGCCTTGTTTTTTAAAGGTAGGAACGATGATGTTAAGTGTTTTTGCTGTGATGGTGGTTTAAGATGCTGGGAATCTGGAGATGACCCATGGATTGAGCATGCGAAGTGGTTTCCAAGGTAACTTGCAAAATCTTTATCATAATTTGTTCACATCCTTAAATAGTGCCGACTTCGGCAGATATGTACTACGCTTAATAGTTTTAATTGCACCATATGATGTACACTGTGGCTTTCATTTGCTTGTGTTTCATGTACCTCTGTTTAAAGGCTCTCGAGTGTGGCAGTGGCCTTAATTAAAACATTTCTTAATTAATCATGATATTTAATGCCTTCCAATTAATAATTAAAAGCTGTGTGCATCAGCTTATCTAAGAGAAGTAGTCAGAAAGTGGACTGGGGAGAGTAAAAGCTGCTGAAAAATGAGGTAGAAGGAACATCTAACTCCCTTGGTCTAGTTCTATGTTCAGGCTGAATGTTCCTGAACCAGTTTTTCAGCTTGTGAAGTTTAGTTTCTTAGGTGTGGAAAGACTTGTGAAGAAGGTTTCAGTGTCTGTTTAATACGTCTCTTGGAGAAATGACAGAACTTTTTCACATCCCCTGTAATTATATGGCAGTTGCATAGCTAATTGCTGTCTGCCTGTGGAAATTGCCACCTACATTGATGACAGAAATGGCTGTACTTAATTTCAAGGAAGCTAATAATAATTCTTCAACTCAGAGCTCTCCAGCTAGTTAGTCTTTCACAGCAGTTAACCAGCTACTGTTGGACTACATGATGTACCTAGAGTAAAGTGACAACTTTGTTTCCTTCTGTGTTACACCTGTCAGTAAATGTATTCTTAACTACATCAATGTACTCTGCATTAGTGATGCGGATCTGGCTCTGATAGTGGTGTTAAATTTTGCTAGCTTCTTCTGAATGATTTGCATAGGAGATAAGAATGGTGAGATGTGAGATAGAAACTGTTCATCACTGCACTTTGTAGTAACGCTGACACAGTATCATTTCCCATGACATGCCATTTTGATTAGAAGTGGCAGCAGAATGTAAAGTTGCTGCATTTATATACGTAAGACTACTGACTGCTGAATATCATGGAAAAGCTTTGTTGTCCTGTCAGCTTGCATCTGAGAGAACTCGTTCCCTCCTAAAGGAGAGAAATGTGTATTTAAGTTATTGCAAACTGTTTCATTCTTCTGTTTTGTTTTTTTTTTTTTTTTTTTTTTGTTTAGGTGTTTGGTGGTTTTGTTTGTTTGTTTTTCTTCTTCCTTTGGCAAGTAGGGAGTATGATTTAGTACGTGTTTGTCTGTGTTTCAGGTGTGAGTATCTGCTTCGTGTGAAAGGAGGAGAGTTTGTAAGTCAAATTCAGGCCAGGTTTCCCCATCTTCTTGAGCAGGTAAGGTTTACTGTTCTGTAACATTGCTTTTCCCTCATTGAAGAGTGCTCTGTTCTTTGTGAGAGCTTGGTCCACCCTTACGCTTCATTTCTGCATGTATTTCTGCTAGGTTTTGGACATGGTAAGTGCTCTTTGTGAGCACAGAAATGGAACCAGTGCTGAACCGTAGCTAATGGACTTAACTAGTTGAGTGTAACCTGTACAGATTTCTTACAGAAAGTGTTAGGAGGCAGTGAGCTCCTTTGTGTCAGGAGAGGGAAATTCTGCTGACTTAAGTTTCAGTGAATAATGCAGATCAGTAATAGTTATTTCAGAAATCAGTCATGGACAGCCTGAATTATATCTATCCATAACTCTTCTGGCAAGAATAAGCCCAACTTCTCTTCCTGGAATTGATCAGCACTAACTTTGTACTGATTATATAGCTGCACAAATTTGCATACTTGGGCAGCTGCCTGTAAAATACCTAATGGGTACCATTCAGATAGAAAGCTTAGCGTGGTTGGTGAGAGCAGGACGGCTTAGAGAGGTCTGTAGGGCGAAAAGCAGTACTTTGGTACTAACCTAGTCCTGTTGTGTTCCACAGCTCTTGTCAACCTCTGATACACCCGTTGATGAAAATGCTGATCCCCCAAGTATGTATATTAAAGCTTGTTTTTTAAACTTCCTCTGCATTTTGCAAACTTAATGATTGGCTGCCCAGAGCTAACTTGCTTAACAACTCTTAGATTTTCTTGGAAGCAACAATACTATAAGGATTTTCTAACTAAAGATACAGGTTAAGTAGCTTCGACATTATATGGACAAACTTCAAAGAAGCGCCTGTGAGAGATCTTGTCTTTCATTTTCCTTAGTTTCCTGCTAGCAGCTCACCTTCAGATTTTTGATTTTGAATGCTTAGCGTCTGCTGTATTTGTGGGGTTTAGTTCCATGGCTGGGTTAAACAAAACAAGTCAATTTGCCATTTGTTAAATTAATCTATGGTCTTAAACTTGGTGGAACAGTTGCTAGAGGGTGTCATGACTATGTAGTTACACGACTCCAGTTTTAGGCACATAGCTAGGTGAGTGCTCTGAGTAGAGCAGCTGTGGGTCAAGGAGAGGGTAGGACAAGCTGATAAGGTGGAGTCTTTCTGAGCAGGACTCTAGTTATGATGGAAATAAACTCCCATAGGGTGAGTGGAATCAAGGCTGAGTGGGTTATGGTCTCATAATAGTCTGACACCCATAAATACTCAATACTCATAAAACTCTTGACAATGAGTCAGAATATCATGTGTCTGGTGCTTAGTAAGTTGAATGGAAAATACTGGTCAAGAGCTGGAACTGAGCAATTGTTTGTACTAAAACTGTGAATTTTGATCCTTCTCACCCCAGACATTTTTCAAAGTTAGAAATTTCTAAGTATAAAAAATGCTGGTAAGACACAGTGGAATCCTCTATGGTTTCTCTGGATTACCCTGGGTTTATAGTGAAGGCCTGGTATGAATTGACGTTTATCATGGATTCAACCCAATTGAATCTAAGCAACTAGCTTCCATTTTTAAAACTAATTAATTAACATTTCAGTGGTTAAATACACTTTTTTTTTTTAATGCCAGGAATTCATATTGTATATATGCCTGTGTGCGTGGCTGGGTAATGGCACTGTGTCTGATTTCTGCGTTGTGTGGGCATTTTATTTAACTTATATATGGTGATTTTCCTTTTTGACTAGTTATTCATTTTGAACCTGGAGAGGGTCATTCAGAAGATGCAATCATGATGAACACGCCTGTGATTAAAGCTGCCTTGGAGATGGGATTCAGCAGAAGGCTAATAAAGCAAACAGTGCAGAGTAAAATCTTGGCCACTGGAGAAAACTACAAGACCGTTAATGATCTGGTCTCTGATCTGCTCACTGCTGAAGATGAGAAGAGGGAGGAAGAGAGAGAGAGACAGTTTGAAGAAGTGGCTTCAGGTACGCATAAGGCACAAATAGCAGCAGAAGCAGAAGTGGTTTGCATTATGTAGAGTTTTTATAGTTGTTCTCATTAGGATCAGGTTCTGTAACAACGTTGTTGGGGTATCTGTATGGGACTGGACATCTGGGATTTGTTGCATCCCCTTTCAGGAAGACGGTTCATACTGGTGCCAGGGGTTCAGAATTACCCAATTCTCTCCATGGGAACAAAGCCGTAATTTTTAATTTATATGCCTTCATATTACTCTTAATAAAATAAATAGAACCAAAATATTTTCATTGGTGCACTCCGCTGTTCCTTTTCCAAATTTGCCAGTTTTTGAAGGTGCTAGCTATCTACTTCCTGGAAAGGGGCCATAAACTTTTAAAAATGCAGATTCTGCAAGATAGCCAGAGGTTTGCTTTTCTGTGCCTGACTCAACCATGTAGGTGAGCTATTTAACAGGGCTTATTTGAGGTGTCTTTAACATTTCCTATTGATTTAATAACATGTAAGTTTTAAAGCCTAAAAAAATCCTACTATTATTGAGTCTGTGAAGCAGTAATGTAACTTCTCAATTATAAATTAAGATGTGTGTGTTCTAGCAAAAAAGCATAGACTGATTCAGTCATCAAAAATAAAATTATTGCCATTAAGATTTAGTTTGTGCTAGACTGTTTAAAAATCATCTCCCGAGTCTAGTTGTTCTGTACTTGTGGTTTCCTTGCACATAATTCTGTGGAAATGTCTTTGAAAAGCTTGATTCTGTCTACCTCTCAGGCATGATTTTGGCTGCCCCTGGTTGAAGTTGAGCTGTTGGCTGTCAGTGAGTTAGTGTTGGTGTTACACAGATGCCTTGTGTTTCCTCTGCAGTTCTGCACGGGAATGAAAGTCTTGCTAGTATGAAGTTAGACAAGACTCCCTCAGATAATTTAACCCAGAGGTGGGAGCAGGAGGTTTCATGGGTGAAAAGGCTTCTTCTGAGAAGCTGCTTGTATGTGGTTTTCTTAAGTCTATTTTTTATGTGAATGCCACTAAAACTTACTGAGGTATTCATGGTGCGTGGCGAGTGAATGTTTCAGGTAGATTTTACAGAAGGTCTCAGTTTGGCTGGTGTGTTGCTAACAAGCGTGTGCCCCCTTTGCATCCCAGACGATCTGTCCCTGATCCGGCGGCACCGGCTGGCGCTGTTCCAGCGCCTGACAGCCGTCCTGCCCATCCTGGGCAGCCTGCTGGCCGCCAGCGTCATCACCGAGTTCGAGCACGACGTCATTAAGCAAAAGACTCAGACCCCGCTGCAAGCAAGGGAGCTGATAGATACCATTCTGGTGAAAGGAAACGAAGCGGCCAGCATATTCAGAAGCTGTCTACAGGACTGTGACCCCACACTCTACAAAGATTTATTTGGTATGTCTGTCTTGTCCTTTGTTTGTCTAATGTTAAAGGACGTAAGCTTATGGAATTCCGGTCAGCGCTGTCATAGCAACTTAAAGATATTCAAATATCAGAGTCTCTTTTATAGATCAGTCAAATGACTGGGATTTTTTTTATTCTCTTATTTTAGTGGAGAAGAACATGAAGTATGTTCCCACAGAAGATGTTTCAGGTACCTTAAATTCTACCTTCTTACTTTCGAGGGTATTGTGGGACAAATAGCTACCATCATAAAAAAGAAAATTACTTTGATTAAGAAATAGGTTTTATTCTTTACACTAATCCTAATTCTGCTTTGGTAAAATGGATTTATCTGGAAATTTTAAGTGCACGTGCAGACTTGCAAGCAAGTCTGTCTGCTGTAGGCTGTACCCTCTGCCTCACATGTGCTTTTGCACCACAGGAGGTAGATCTTTATGGAGCTCAACAGGTTGAGCATGTGCTGGACTCTGTCCTGGTACTAGATCTCATTCAGGCATTTGGTAAAGAACAGACAGTGAATAGTAGGTTAGTGTTTCACAGCAGGTATCATCAGCTCTGCTTTTCCAGAGTGGGTTATAGGTGTCCTAAGACCTAGCTTGATCAACAGCTGGGTGGATAAAAGCTTGTCAGACATGAGATTGAGTTTGCTTTGGGTTCTAGTCATGTTAGAGTTTAGTATGTTAATAAACTGCAGAAAAAGTATGCAGGCCTGCACATGGCTCACTTCCCCCACTCAGGCTGTGCTCTGCTTCCCTTATCCAAGCAAGAAGACATTGTTTGAGCTCAGGAACTGCAGCTGGCCTCCAAGCTCTGAGCTCTTTGTTGTCTCACAAGTGGAAAATACAGACTAGTTCCTTGCACGCTGCTTTCTGAGCTCTGGAAAATGTACTTAATTTCTCACTGCCATCTGTACGTAGCGTATACAGCTAGGAAACAAAGGGTGCAGTGGAACTAGAACGCATGTATATGCGGGCTTCTTAAAGGTAAATAATATTTTTTCCAGGTTTACCTATGGAAGAACAATTAAGAAGGTTGCAAGAGGAAAGAACCTGTAAAGTTTGCATGGACAAAGAAGTTTCTATTGTTTTTATTCCATGTGGTCACTTGGTGGTATGCAAGGAATGTGCACCCTCCCTTAGGAAGTGCCCCATTTGCAGGGGAACAATTAAGGGTACAGTTCGGACTTTTCTTTCATAAAGAGGGAAACTTGCAAAATGTCTTTGTTCCTGCCATCCTCTGACTGTTGAGGCTTAAGCCAGCATTGTAGTACAGAAGATGATTAATCAACTACTTAACACCGTTGTGTAATAGTAAACTGAGTGTACTACTCTTCAGCTAACTCAAGGTGAAGTTTTGGTAGCTCTACTTCCTGAGCAAGGAAAGCAGTTTCACTAGGATGCTCTTGTGTCACTTCCAATAAAAAAACCTGTGTGGTTGAGTTCCTAAAATGGAGCTTGGCAAAACTCTTCTCCAGAGTTTCCTTCATGTGGATGTGAGGAACTGTGTTAAGCTTGCTGTTTGTTAATAATTAATTTTAATTAACTTCAGCTACTGTTTTGATTCTGTTTGGGCTTTCCTGTGGACTTGGGGAGGAAAGAGGCTGTTGCAGGAACTTTGAGTTTTTTTCATGTTTAGATACTTTGTATTAATTATAGTTTATATGAAGACATAATTAAAATATTTCCACTTCTCAAATGAGTGCTTGTTTAATCTGTTCCCATTGCTGGTTTTTCCCTGTAGACTGCACTGACTAGAATGCTGTCTTTTCATGACAAAAGTTTCGGGTTTTTTGTTTGCCCCCAAAAGTACAGTAAAAATTAATTTGGTGAGTCTTTCATTTTTGAACAGGGAAGTGAGCTTCTATGCTTCTTGGTGAATCCCTTCTGTTAAAGTAGGGGATTCAGATTTTTACCCTTATTTAAAAAAAAAAAACCCAAACCCCTAAGAGCATCTGGTACTTCTTTCTGTCCTGATTTTTTTTCAAAGGACAGAAAGCCTGGCCAGGAATGGTCCTCATGACCTTTGAGATGAAGCAGAGGGCAGCTGTGCAGCAATACACCCTTTATGCTGGGGTTCAAAATGTAAAAGCTGCTTTTCTGTGTTTGGAAATTTGTAGTGATTGTGCAAATAAATAGTAGGATCTTCCAGCCCCCTCTGAAGTTTTGGGTCTTGTTTTGTACGCTGGTTGTCTAGGGACTCCTGTTTCCTTACTGGTTGGCTCTGTACCCTTTCCAGCTTTGTATCCCTAGGCTTGCACAGTAGATACCTACAGAAGGAAAGTGTTTGTGGGTCTTTAGCAAGGATTCCTTGTCAAAAAGTGGAGCAATACTACCAGGGTCACAGTATTAAATCCTGCAGTGGTGGCATCACTTTGACTCTGTGAAGTCAGCCATCTTCAATCATACCCTAATGCCCAAGAGTGGACCTCTCAATCTTCAGACCTGCCAGCAATATGATATTTTTAACAGTACTTTGGCGCCTTATGCTGTGTAGTGTGAGGTGAAAAGAGCATTTCTTGAAGCTTTAGATGCCAGCCTTAGTAAATTGTGTGCATTTAACTGGCTTTCATCACTACATATGTGGCTTTAGCTGTACATGTGTTACCACTTCTAAAAGAGAGCACCCTGTAAGTATGAAAGCAGTAAAGTGTACACATTAAAAAGGTGTGTGGGCTGTGTAACCTGTGACTCGTTCAGTGACTTGCCCTGTGTCATGGTTGCCCAGCGCTTACGCCAGGGCTGCTGTGAAGTGGGGAAATGTTTGTCACCAGCAAATAAATTTCCATCATACCTGGAGATGCTGTATATTTGGCTTTTGTGTACATGTTTCCTGTTGTACATCTGAGCTGTTAAAGTCCCCATCTGAGTCTGTGAAAGAAACCTCTAGGTCTCCTGCAGTAACACTTGCCCTCTTGGGACATCTCTCCACTGAGTTTGGAACTGAGACTGTGTGTGGAGTTAACAGCGTGTTATATTTCTAGTGTAGTTGCAGCCACAGCGTTGAATCAAAGTTCAGCTAGAAAGGGACAAACCAGGCATTTGTATTTGCTAATTACGTGATTGAAGCTGATTTGTCAGCAGATTTAGAATGTTTCCATCAGTAGTACTGGTCACTAAATATAGTGTGGACAGTTGTACAAAGGAAGGGACAGACACGTTCTAGTTATCTGTTTGTCCTGTGTCCCCAAGCAGTACCTCCTGGGCCGCAGCCCTTTTCAGAGTAATACTGGAGGTACTAATTTTGAAGTCTTGCTTTGTTATCTGGGATCTTAGGGGGTGGCTGTAAGAATCTGGGCTGGCTTGTCTTTGAACATCCTCAGTGTGAACTGAGCAATGCTGATGTTTGGTTTCATCCATTCCTGCGTATTTTCTGCAACACTTTAATGCTGTGCTTTAGTTGGCACCCTAATTGTTTTAATGCTCTGGTGTACGCTCCTTGCAGTATGTAGGATTCTCTGTCAGCTGCCTTGCTGTAATTCTTTTAAATGCAGACTTTTGTCCAACTGTACTGCTTGTACATATATCCTCTGTAGTTTTAGTGTTAAAAATGTGAGTGTTTCAAACCTGGCATATAGTTTTAAACAGATTCGGGGAGCTCACCTGAAGAGTGTGGAATTGTTAGTATGTAAGCCCTGCTTCTGAGCAGGGAAGAGGCCAGGGGAAAACGTTGTAGCGGGCAGACTTTTTATGCAAGGCATTTGCCTTTAGAACCACGTGGAGTTAAGAGTTTTTCAGACACTGTGGTTACTACATGCGGATGGGATGATGGATATTCATGGCCTTAAAAATGGAATGATTCAGGTGTTCGGTGTCATTTGTGATGCTTGAGGGTATCTTGGGACCTGTCACATACCTGTCAGTCCTGGTTGGTGTTTTGAATGTGCGGGGCAACTTCAAACAGCACTGGCTGCCTCCATTCAGGCACCTGAACTGCATTCTAAGAAGTGGAAGATCTTAATGACGAAACAACTGGGTAAAATTCTTTAACCTGCTTTTGGCAGGAAGCTTCATCTAGGTTATGGCTTTGCGCTGCTCCACAGTGTAATGACTGAGATTGCCCTGACCTATTATGCTTTGCATGTGAGCAGTTACGTTCTCCTCAGTACTATTCCAAGAAAGCTATAATAAAACTAGTTGTCTGTAGCACGTTGCAAACAGAACCCTACCAAAATGTTAAGCCATGGAGAAGATGGCAATAGTGTCACGGCTGCAGAAGATCAAGTGACTTGTGTTCCTTGTGAACCAGCTGACTATGTTCACACAGTTCTGTGTCCACTTCCTTCTTTGAAAGACTCTTCTGGAGCTCTGATTTGGTTCAACAGCCTCCCCCCAGCTTCCTGCAAATTTGCTGATGGAGCAGCCCAAGTTCTCAGAGGTCAGCATTCCAGGTCTCTAGCCTGTCTTGGGATCAGCAGAGTGTGTTCCCAGGGCTTGGGGGGTGCAGAGGGTGTGAACTTGGGTATCATTGGATTATTGTATGCTGAAACAAATGACCATCTAGGAAATGTTTGGGAAGGCCAGCATGATAGAAAATAAAAATCTTCCTACTGCTGCTTTTTGCGACTGAGAGAGTCAGCAGTGGTTCAGTGACCCCACAATGCCACGCCCCCAGAGCTGGGCTGGCTGCTGTACTGCTCACCGGGCAGAGGCAGTGGAGCTGCCCACAGGGTGTCCATCTGCCCTCACCTCTGTGCTGTGGCAGCCGTGGGGTGGGGGCTGGAGATGCAGCATCACGGTTAGTGTCGCAGGTGGGCTGAACTTGCGAGTTCAGTTTTCTTGCTGTTTGTTACTCCTCAAGTCACCTGCCTGAGGTGTGTGAACTCGGGCAGGAGATACAGCCTGGATGTGGAAAGGTATTCTCTGTTCTGTTGAAATACTTCACCTGTAATTGTTGTCACTCTTGCTCCAGAGGTTGCGAGTGCAGGGAGGGGACTTCCTGAGACAATACTAAGTCACCAGCCCTTTGCTTCTGTTTTTCATCGAGTGTGTGATCACAACGGTTACTGATGCTCCAGTCCGGCTTCCTCGCTGCTGGCATGGGACCCTTCAAGCCCAAGAGTCTGGGGTATTGTATACATCTGTGCAAGCAGAGCTCCATACAGCAGCTCCTGCTGTCCTATTGTCAGGAAAAAAAAATAAAAAATGGTGAGTTTGTTTGGTTTGTTGGTTTTCCTTTGAAGAGATCAAAATATGCTGGAAGGTAGCAGGAAATTGTTTGCACAATAAGCAATGTCCTAGCAGTGGCCTTCACATTAAATTTTGGCCTTGTGAAATTTTTTTAGAGAAAAGTTGGAGAACTTGCCAAATGTTTCTAAGCTCACATCAGAGTGTTCAGACTTGGTCAGAACCAAGATCACTTTCTTTTGGGTGCATATAGCTTGGCTTACTGATGCTCTATTCTTTTGGCAGGTAGAGGAGTGAAATACTCAGCACTTACACAGTACAGGATGTTAGTTGGGGTCATGATTTGCTCAGTGAAAGAGAGCTTCAGTTCTCAGGGAAGAATAAACTCTTTGGAGAAAATTAAGCCATATATGCAACAATCAAAAAAGAAAGCACCCCATTTGTGCAAACACTTGTAGCTTTTTCTTTATGAACCCCGTCAAGGAAATGGAGTTGTTACACAGTTTTTCTTCTAACACTTCAGAAGCACACCTAAGGGATTCTATGATCACCTCTGTGCTGGGCAGGTGCAGCACCTGGGTTTGCAAACTGCTTTAAAATTGATGTGGAAAAGGTCATAACAAACTCAAAATTTGGAGTGTCAGAAAGGGAGCATATTTCCTCTTGGTGTTTAAAAGGACACTTCAAAATGTGGACTCACCATTATTCTTTCAATATTGAGTTCCCAAATCAGGAAGGCCTGACACTGAAGGATAAAATTACTCTTTGATTCAGTCTTCAATGCTGCATTTTTATAGTGAAGCCAACTCCAAATTCTAATGCAAGCTAAAGCTTAGGCACTGCAGGACCAACACCAGGAACTGGCAGTCCCTGTGTCTGCCCTATTTGTGAAAACTGTCAAGTGCAGTTAATTTAATTTTCCTGTTTTTTAAGACTGCTACCTTGGTCACACAACAATCAGGACTCCTTGAGTGTTGTCTAGGAGTATTTGTTTACATTCAGTACAGGTCCAGTCTCATTCTGTCTGCTTCCTTATCACAGCTCAGTTCTTAACCCCTGGAGTTATCTGGGCAATTTTCAGGCTCTGATGCTGTTCCACTTTGCTTTTGGCAATGTTGTCATTTTGTGGCTGACATCTTTTTTCAATAAAGCATGTTAAGAATGCTATGTGTTGCTTCAGGGCAAAAAATGGAGTGGCACAAGTATGTAAGAGCTTTCACAGTCTCTGAACAATAAGGACAAATATGAAAGATTTACGAAGAGAGAATGCTCAAGATGCTGAAAATTATCACAGTAATATTATCTTGCTTTTATATATATATATATATACATATTTAAATGAACAAATAAAGCACTTCAGCATTGCTGGGCTACTTTGAAGCTTTTGATGCAGGGCCCCATCAAAACTGTTAAGCTGGAAGGGCTGTGATTTGGCACTAGAATACAGGCTAAAGATTACCTGAGAAGGAAAGACCTGTGTGAAGAGTCCTGAGGTATGGTCATATGGTTAATCTTGATGTGTTTGAAGAGCAAAAGTAACACCCACGCTACCTGACCTAAGGTACTATGCTCGGTAGCCATTGGGTGATTTCCCAAGCCTGGAGTATTAAGTGAAACAGATTTTAATAATAAAGCACAACCCCAAGAATTTTAAAGATTAAAAATGAGTGTAGGGGTTGTGTGAAAGAGGTGTAGTAGCCAACGGAATGCTGGTGATGGGCTGACACCATGACACTGTAAGTGCAGTTCTGTGGTGTGTCGCCAGAGGGGTTCCTACTCAAGGCAGAATTACAAACTGCATTGCTCAGCCAAACGATCTTTATAATATTAATAAATGCTGTTAAGGAACAGGTGAAAGACTGACTGTATCTTAAGTACACCTAGAGAAGGGGAAGAGATATTTATGCTAAAACTGTTGCATAACATGAATATAAGCAGGTTAATAAACTTATGATTGAATTCAGAATAACTAATCATCAGTGAAGGGAGTAGGAGGAGATGTTACTGAGGAAGGATTTATTTAGGAAGTGTTTCGTTACTGAGAAGGTGGGCAAATGCTGAGACAGGCTTCCTAGAGAGGAGCTCAAAGCACCAAGGCTGCCCATGTTCCAGAGGCACTGGGACCCCAACAACCTGCTCTAACCTGGTGAGCCCCGAGCAATCAGGCAGTTGGACCAGATGATTGCTGTAGGTTCTTTCCAACTGTTCTATTCTATTCCATTGTTGCCTGGGATAGTGCTAGACCAGTCTATGAGACAAAAGACCTTTTTTTCCCTCTCTTTTGCTTCTCTTTCAGCTTTGTAACTCATGCTGATCTAGAATTTGGCAAACCCTTTCAAATACACTTTCCTTTGAGAAACTGTGTCAATCTTTAGTTAATATAATCAGGATGTTTGAATGCTAAGTTACTATTTCAGTTATTTAATAGTCAGCCCCTTGACATGTGTAGAGCATAGATAAATTCAGGTCAGCTGCTTGTCCCACAGCTATAAAGCAACCTCCAGAATGGCAGCCTAAATATATACTTAGTGGTGGTGTGATACACTGAAAAGCTGTCCTGTTCATCCTGTTTTATACATGTGTAACTTAAGGCTGGGGTTTCACTTACTGTTGGAAAGCAAATGTAAAATTAAAGCTAAGATTTATCAGTTACACCTCACTTTGTCTAGTATCCCAGTACCTGAAAGGAGGTCAGGTTTTATATTTCCACTGACACCTCTGAAATCTTAAGCATGTAACTTTGCTTACTGTGGTAATGAGATTACAGAATATATTACAGTTTACTGAGCTGCACAAAAATGCACTAGGACTGGTATTCTAGCATTTGAATGTATACAGAGTGAGCACTTCTTATTAAATGGCTATGACTGGGGTGGCACCCAATAAAATAAAAATGCAACCGAAATCGATATAGTAACTAGAAAGATTTTATTTATTCATCTGTACAACAGAGGTAAGACAATCCCAGTAATTGAGTTGCACTTAATTGTCTTTATTTCTACAAAGCAAGGAACTGCAGTTCTAGGGAAGAATTGTTTCCAAACACTTCAAAACAAGAAGTTTTTCACCAAACAATGCAATTAAGAACAATCACAGAAGATGCTCCAAATCCCTCTCCCCCCACCCTGTACCTCAGTCTCAGTACAAACCAGAACAGCCCAGCTACCCCCATTGCAGGTGCATGGCTGGTGCCATAGGTTGCTCATTAGCCTTGGCTGGCTGGAGTCAGCTGTGCCAACACAACAGTTTTGCTACGCCATGTGAAAAAGGAAAACAAAAAAAATCTACACAATCACTTACCATTGTGTGTCAGAATAAACTACTGCTCAATAGAGCTGTGGTCTTCTTTCCCCTGATGTGCTGCACCCCAGCCCCATGACAGACCTATACGCCCTTCCTGCTGTGACCACCTCCTGCCTGTGCCCTGCACGATGGAATAGTGCAGCAGTCAGCAGGATGGTCGAGTCCCACCACGCCAACCCTCTTCACCAGGGAGGTTTACAAGTAGAGCCTAAGTAGGACTGAACAATTACCCAGTGACATGAGGAGAAGCTGGCCTGTGCTTCTTGCTCTTTGCTCTAGTTTTCCTTACACCAGTGTAAGCCAGGAGCCCATCACCTCAAGTCAGATCTACCTTGATGTAAATGCAGAAATGATGTGGAAGCAGCATCAGCCATCTTGCACAGGACCCCCAGTGTATTTGGGCCTTGATCTAAAGGCCAGTTAGACCCTTAATCTAAAGGGATGCCCCACTGCCTTCAGTGGGCTTTTGACCAGGCCTCTGTACACATGTGCAGCAGTACCAAAGTTCTGAAAATAGCTCTAAAAATGCTCATTATATTCTTCTAAAATGCTGTCTTACAGATTTTCCCCTTCTCTGTGTCACTTCAATGCTAAAACATTGCATACAGCTTCACAGTAATAAAAACCAAGAGCAAAGTAATTGCATTCAACTTAAAAGCTGATTTTTAGAAGCAATTTTCAGATTTATGATGGCACAATTACTTTTTTTCCATTTTTACTTTCTCTTCAATTGCATAGACTTCATTAGGAGATGCCAGAAAAAAAGAAGCCATGGATTGCACAGTCTGTTTTCTTATAAGGACCCATTTAGAGAAAAGGGTTTGGACGGGTATCTCTAGTCTCTCCATGCTTCCTCCTTCCTTTATAGTCTAATAAAAATTAAAGTAATTGTTCAAAAGCCAAGATTTCTAATACAAACTTTCCATCAAACTTCAAAATAAATACAATTTAATACACAATATTCGGGGAAAAAAAATTTCCTGCAAAAACATATGCTTGGTCTTAAAGATATCCTATTTAACCTACTACATCCATTATGGAACACATTGGATTGACACCATATGTGAGAAATAACTGAAGTCAGAACTGCAACAAGGTGACACACTGTGCATCAGCTATTTCAGTCAGCTAGTTCAGGGAGTTGTGTGTGTACCTGAAAACGGCTCAATATGGTTTTTTAAAGTTAATTACAAATACTGGAGAAAGAAAATACTATCTCTACAAAGTCCTGAGTTCCTCCTCTTATGAAAGCAAATGCAAAAAAATCAGTACATTTGAAGAGCTTCTCAACATTTTGTTGGCTCACAGCAGAGAGAGGTTTGGCGACTGTGATCATCTTTATCAAAGGATCTCATTCAGGAGTAGGTTAGGAGCTGTGACAGGACGGGTTTCTAACATGGCCTTCCCTGAAGTCTCTTTAAATGATGGCATCATGCTCATCACTGTAATAGAAAGACAGTAATTAATATTCTACAGTACAAGCAAGAGTCAATATGAGAAACAGGCACCCAGCTGCTGCTAAGAAGGCTATTTTGGGAACAGAAGCCACAGAATCATATAGTTGTTTTGGCTGGAAGAGACCTTTTAAGACCATCTTGATGAGAAGCCTGCAGACAACTTCTAAAGGGTCTTGAAAAGATAACTAAGAAAAGCAAGCTTGCTCAATAGTCTGTGCACCTACGCTCCATCGGAAAAACAGCAGCAGCCTGCAGCTCAAAGAAGGTTGAGAGTCACTGGTGTATACAGAATGAGTGACCTGAGGTAGGATCCAGCTTTCGATATCCAAAGCACAGACTTCTGTATCTAAGACTCTTAGCTGCTCTCACAGCAAGAGAATACAAAACCACAGGGATAGGCTGATCCATTTGACAGCTTTAACCTACTTTAGGGTAATATGAATGATATGGAATGATTTGTTCTGATGCAGATGCCTGTATTCAGTTTAATGAATTCTATTTGTCATTTCATGGGTGTGTGAAAAGTACTTAAAAGTAGGTTCAGCACATACAATTTTACAGACAGGTTTCTGTGGTTGAGAACAAGGTAACACAGAACACAAAATACTAGAAATCAACTAGTTGGTCCGCCTATATTGCAAGGTGGAGCAAAAGTTTGACTTTGTATACTGGCAACAATCAAACACTGTGTGCTTTTAAAAATGTGAATAATGGCCATATTACCTTTGAATGTTTTCTGTGACAATAAATGAATGAATCAATTGAACAGTGGAGGCTTAATAATGTGGAATATTTGATGTCTGCCTTTAAAACTGGCTGCTCAAACTAGACGTGAAGGTATATAAAAGATGATAGAAAAGAAACATGGTAACAGAGTTCCAGCAAGACATCATATAGGCAATACAAAATAGAGCTATTACCAAAAAAAAATAATGGGAGTTTTTCTCCCCCTTGCAAAGGGCGAATAGACAAGTCTAGGAGAAGTGTCAGGAAGAACCCGAATTCTTGCAAGCTGCAGCAAACATGTCAAGGAAATGTTTTCAACTGAATGTTAGCTATTCATGGAATAGCTAAAGTACAAGGATCGATTGAAAAACACAAAATTATTTTATATAATAGATCAAAGAAAAAACCCACACAGAAGAATGCATAATAATGAGGAATAGCTGCAGTAGTGAAAGACAAATTAAATCGTACTACCAAAATGAAATCTCTTAATATTATGTATATAAAGTAAATGTATGTATCAGAATTCCTTCTGGTTTGTTTGTCCTTGTCCCCCTCAAGAAATTATTACACAGACAAGGGACAATCCCTTGGGAACTTACATGGTTCTGTACTGAATGCCTCTTCTAGAGTGATAGGTTTTGCATCCGATGTAGAGAATAACTAGGGCTCCAAGTGTCAGCACAATGCCACCTACAAAACTGCCCACATCAAATCTGGAGGTTTTGGCTACGACAACCTCGGATTTTGATGCAGCTGAAAAGAAAAACAAAAGCCGTTTTTTTACAGACTTTGCAAAATTGCATTTTGAGGGACTCCTCTACATCCTGCCCTCCCCATTGACATATAATCTAAAGACCCCATTAGACAAATTTAACATGGATCAACTGGCAAGATACAAGCCAAGAACACTGAAACCTAAAGCTCTGATTTTAAGTATCAGTTTCTGGTGACAAAGGAGCAGCTGATCCAACTGATTGCTGCTGAAAGGCTGACTGCCCCATCTCCTCTCCCTTCCTTCCACGCCTGCAGCTCCTGCCCCTCTTAGTACAGTACTAGTGTTTTCCATACCCTCCATGAACCAATGTAACTTATCAGGCTGGCCTGAAGTTAAGTCAAGCAGAAAAGGAAGTTGCTGTCAGTCAGATGAGCATACTGAGTCAGACTGCAGAGGGTCCAACAACCCAGTCAGTCAGTACAGTCACATGGTGGGAGTAAAATACTTTTGGTGGTGATGAGCTGTTGTTGGATTGCTTTACTGGGTCTCATGGAACTGTACCCTCACTCTCCAAGCGAGGTCAGCTCTGCAGCCCAACACAAATATTGACATAGGTAACACGACCTCAGATAAGCCATAGCGGTTTCCGTGTGAAAACTGGTTTTATCTGCTACAAACCCCCACAAGAAGAAACAGTCTGTGCCCATCTCTATTTGTACTTGTCACAGGGAGTGTTATAGGGCCAACTAGAAGTTCTGCTGATGACAGCTTCACGTACCCATTAACACTTCACTGACACATGAGCAACACCCATCTGTTCAGAAGTGTCAGCATGAAGTGGTGCAAACAAGCTGCTAACCATACGGAAATATTGAATTCTACACTCAGTGTTCTTGTCTTAAAGGGTACTGTCAAACTGTATTTGACAACTTTAACATAAAGTCTGACTCACTCTCAGCCATTTTATCCCTCCAAGAGGGATAAAATTCATTACATTACTAAAAATGCAGCTAAACACAACCCAGTCTTTCTTACCAAGCCAGAAGGCCTCCTTTGAGCCCTAGGTCAACACACCTCCAGTGAAAAGGGAAGTGTTGGAGACGAGTTCAAGTAAGCTCTTGAAGAGAAAGCTGAACAAAACCAGAAGTTGTATTCAAAAGCCAAGCTTTCTGCTAACACTGATAATCCCCTTGGTGGTGGCTGCTGGTTCAGACCACTTGCATTTCAACTTTTATTTGTTTTTTCTAAATATCAGGTCTCTCAGGTCAAGGCCTTATTCAAGTAAGTGGAATGTTCAGAGCAACATTATTGTAGCCAACTTAATAAAACCCCACCTTACTCTCGTTTTTAAGCATACAAATGCCTCCTTTCTTTTTATACTACTATAAACTAACAAACCTACAGTTGTACAACACGTCAACAGGCGTAGGAGCTTTTATGAGCTGCTCGGAATGTGCACTCACCTGTTACAGAAGTGAAAGAAATCTTGGAAGTGGTCACCATTGTAATATTGAGTTGTGATGATGTGACTGATGAAGCTGTGGTGGATCCTGCTGTTTGGCTGGTTTTGGAGGGCTGAGTCGTCAAGGTGACAGAAGTTGTCAAGGTGCTGGTGGGCTGAGTAGTACTGGTCAGATGAGTAGTACTGGTGGGCATACCTGGGAAATTTATTTGTGATATCACACAGAAAAATAGATTAAAATAATAAACTGCATACTTGTTGAGTAAGACAGCATTTATTATGCCCAAACAGAGTAACAGAATAACAATGAAAATGCCACTGCATGGACACCCAGGCTCGCATACAGAGTTTTCCCCTGTGCATTTCCTTTGGAAAGACCTAACTTCTGATTTCTGGGGCTCAAGCTCAGGACTGGTTTAAAGGCAGTACAGAAAACCTGGATAATATTTGATAACTTTTAGAAGAATCAATTTTCTTTTTGATAACACTATCCAAATTCCACAGAATCAGACCTAATTTACAGTATTTGAAAATATGATAAAATTCTGGATCAAGAGTAACTTTCCACTTGAAAAGCCTCAACTTTTCAGATAACTAAGCTTTCCTGGTAAAAACTAATTTTGCATGATACCCCAGTCCCCAATTTTAATAATGATTTAATCTTTAATTTGCTTTTGAATGAAACAAATTAATGGCTTTTTTGATTTTTTTTTGAATGGCTTTACTATGGTTGCATGTGTATTAAACCTGCCAGAGAATTCTGTATGTATGCTAAACTTAAGGTTCAATAGGTTTACCACACGTGATAAAAGTTGGGCTGGAATAAATCTGCTGTCTTCTATAATTTATTGAGTAGTGAGCTGTCTTGCCAAGGTTAAAGTCAAGACTGGAATGTTGTTTCACAAGTTTCATTGACACTTAACACCTTTAACTTTTACTCTGCTTTTACCTAATGCTTCCCCTTCCCTCACAAAGCAGTAATTAACCGTTCACAATACAAATACCGTGAAGCAAAACTCAAGAATAATCGAGATCAATATTTATAGAAAAATCCTTAGAATCTTAATAGGCAGCCAGATAGAAAGATCTTAAGAATAATTACTTATTTTTGTTAAGCAGGGACTAACAAGAAACATGAGCCTAGTCCACAAGTAACTGCTCTAAGCAGACAATATGAGGCAAATACGTTTTTATGCAAGAAGAAATTTTAGGGAGAAAAAGCTCTCTCTGCAACTCTCTACTTCTGTATAATTTCTATAATATCTCACATGCCAGCTGAATTTTAAACACCACAAAAGCTTTTCATCATGGGCATTCAAATCTCTAATTATATCCATGTTTCCTTAAAATTGTCTAAATCTAGAAAAACTGAAGAAAATATATAGTTTCATCTTGACTGCACATAAACTTGATAAAAATTTCTGCTTTTTTACACAGCATCTAAAACAGTTCTATAGAATAATCCTCCTGTAAGTGGTTTAACACATAGAACTGTATCTTTGCTAAGACTTAAGTATCACTGCTTCTAGTACAGGTGTGAACATCACAAAGGTTAAAAAACCCCAAACAATACAACAATGTAAACATTCAGAAAGGAACTGACCTACACAACACTTCTCTGAGACATTTAACACTAAAACTGCTGAAACAGCCCAACACAGTCCCCAGAGTCAATGTTACCCATTTTCCTGCCCTTTGATGTCATAATTGCATTGTGCTGTAACCCCAGGAAACACTTTGAAACGAGCATTCACTGAGGGGGAACAGGGGAGTACTATATTCATCTGCTTACCTTGTTACAATTAGGAAATTCAGTTCCTCTATGAAGCATGTGTAAAATACATCAGATAAAATTCAGGGCACATTTTAATACTGACAGGTAAACTCCCCAAAGTCACAATAATCCAATAAACTATAAATCCCAAATGGTTCCTCACTGTAGAAAATAAGCAATGAAATGTCTATATGGAAACCATCTACAGTTATATGACAGGAAACCACACCTGGTAACTGTATTCCTAATATAAAATATACCAAAATAAAAACTAATGTGAATGCAAGTGTTGACCAGACACTGGCTTGTGTTTCTGAACACTGTAATAGCTAATTGTTCTATGTCTAGCATTATTAAACAATGTTACACAAGTGGTAATCATTCCATGGCATTAAATTACCCTACAGAAAACATGTCAGCACAAAACATTCAAGCAGCTATCATGAGGAATTTTAGCAAATTTTCACGTTACTTTCCCCCCCCCCTTCCTAGTAGCTATCCTTGTGTCTTATTTCATGAAGCACTCGGTGATGCAACGTCAAGAGTAAAATATGGTTCATCTCCTACAGACTTATCTTCCATGACGTATTTAGCATCAGCCATTTCAAAACATCAGTGGGAGGCTGAGGCAGCTGGAGAATCTGGGAAGCTGACAGGAATTGGGCACCAATCTGTTCTTCTGTGTCTTTGAAAAAAAATCTTCCTCATCCTATTTTACCGACAGTTAAGATGAAAGAACATTTGCTAGCAACGTCTGTACATCTGTCCTTTTATCTTTTATTTCCCTAATTACTTTCCCCAAAAAGACCAGCTGGGCTTCACTGAACATCACACTAAACAAACCCAGACTGCTCCAGTTAATTTTTTTTACTTAAAAAGCATGCATGCCAGTAATATAGTTTATGATGCTTTATTTTTTAAAGGGACAAGTGTTTTACTTTATACTCTACCTGTGTTTAAAGATCACATAGTCATGATATATCAATCAAACTATATATACAGCATAAAGTTAAGAACTCTTAGCAGCACACACTACTCCCTTAGTGTTCTAACAAGAACAAAACCAATTCAATTGCACAAGCACCACGCTAACATACAAAATTATTATTATTGAATTAGTTTCCTATAATAAATACTCTGCATGAAAAATGACTGAATGAAACAGACTTTTGCTTCTGCCATATAAAGTTTAAAGAAAAAAAAAAAAGACTTTAAGCAAAAGTAAACACATACATCCAGCAGCCTTTTCTCTGAAGAGGTCAAGACATAATCAAAATGGATGAACGTTGTCTTAAAATCTATTCAGTTTCTAACAAAAATAATAATAAAAAAAAAAAGGATCTGAATCATAAACTATGTGAGGCAAGGCATAGCTCTCTGTTAGATTTGTACTGTGCCTAATAGTAACAAGAGGCCCGGGCCCTCTACTGTTATCCATACATAGTAAAGCTCAGCTCTCCACCAGAAGCCCATAGTCAGGGCTGGAGCACAGGGTGAGTGAGACACCTCTGGCTACCAACAGCTTCACACGTGGGGAAGGCCCCAAGGCAACAAGGGCATTATAGAAATCTCTCCACGTTCCAAGTCAGACATGCTTAAACTGGTACATGGCAGACAATGGAATGAGACACTGCAGCTCCTCCCTGCTACCAAGACAAAGGTCTTTGCAGAGATTGTTTTTTTTTTTTTCCCTCATTATTTTATCCTTAATGAGTAACAAGCAGCTTGTGAGTGTGGTAGCTCAGCGGTTACCTGGAGACCACAGAGACACAGTAAGAGCTGCACCAGAAATGGAACGATATTGCTGGGACCACATCATCAGCATCAAACTCTGCAAACACACAAAGTATCTTCAGGTACCCACCATGTTCCTGCCCTGATTCCACATGGCTCTTCACACAAAGGGGCCCCAGGTCATGCACAGAATTAGCTTCTCTCCTCTCAGATAGGACCTTTTTATCTGTGCATCAGACTGAACAACTGTACGACCCTAACTCATATCCAGTCTTTACTTATGTAAAATATGCCTATGCAAGTGCTTCCAGAAGATCATTTTTTAAATGTCTTGTTTTAATAGTCTCATATTGACATGGCGAACAGTTGGAACACTGCAAATACAAGTGAATAAACTGTTTGTGTCCCAGGTTAAAGATCTATTTTCAAACTCTACTGGTTGATCTAATATACCCATTTCTTCTTTCTACAAAGATGTATTTTGTAAACACGTTACTTATGTTGAAGCACCACTACTGCAACACTGCTGCCTTGCAAAATCATTCTGACCTACAGTTCTTTTGCCAAGTTATGAAGGAGAGATGGTAGTGCTAGAACAATGCAAAAGCAGCTGTGACAGATTGTCCCAGATCTGCCTCGCCTGTCTTGCACCTGTATAGTGAACTCCACTCCTCTGTGCTATGAGCTCTGTAAGGAGTATTTTCTATTGTATAAGGTGCCATGACTCTTACCAAATAGGAAATTGAGCCTTACTCTTGAAACCCAAGCTCCCAAAACTTCATTATACCTTCAATCTATTTACTGTGAAATAACATGAAACAGACATGCACTGTTTGCAACAACTTATTCATCTTTACTCCAGGAAAATGAAAGAAGTTTCCTTAAAGACAAAGAATGAATATTAAAAAGACCATCTTCCATCAATTTTTCCTTGAAGTGCATTTTGATTCCTGTTCTTCAATGGCACCACAGATGTCACTGCTTTTACTGATGAAGCATGCTACCTAAACTTGAAAAATAGTATAGCTTCATTTCAGAGTTGTTTTACATGTTGCCTCCCAGCCCTACAAAGATAATACTCCTTTCAAATACCCATTTTTGATGCATGTCTCTTTAGAATTTGATATGATGTGGGGTTGGTTTGGAGCTAGCTTCTAGGTTCATAGTAATGGACAGATGAACAGATACATACCTACTGTAGATGTTGCTGTAGATTGTGTGGATGATGTATCAGTGAGATTGGATAAACTGTTGTTGTCTTCAAGGAAAAAAGCAAACAAGAAAAGAAATATTATTAATTTTCATTTTAACATACTACAATTAAAGTACCCACAATACAATACTCTCCTAAGGATCTCTGTATATGCAGGCCACAGGTGGGAGTAGAGCAGAGTATTCCATTCCAAAACAGATAGTTTTATCCCTCTGCAAAAGGCTTCCAGAGCTCAGTGCAGCAGGAACACAGTTACACTGTGTGCACAGCAGTGCCCAAATAGTCTGCACCTGAATGCTTTACATCTCCTCTTTTTGCTCTTTTGCACTTGTGTGCCATGCTCTGTTCCAGATGCTCTTATTAGCCATACCGTCACTGACTCTCTTGACCTACTTAAGCTCTGTGGGTTTTTTTCATAGTTCTTGTTTCTCTATTTCAGTTCCATTTCCGGTCCCTCAATCTTTTCTTTCACATTGGCGCACCTCTGTTACAAACTGGGCTCATGATAGAAACATACTGTAGTTGTGTCAAGCAATTTGACACCCTGTGAAACACCCTTCTGTTGGCTTATGCCTCCTCTACACAAAACGGGTCCTAAGAATGTACCTGTTTCCAAAGACTTTAAATATATGGCATGATTCAGTCTCAACGTTTTTGCCCTTCTCTTTTCTTTCACTTCCTACTTTTCCAGTTCTCTCTCTTCCCCTCCCCTCCCCCCGGCTTCTTATGTTACTTCTATTCTCTCTCTGGTGGTTAGGGAAATGTTGGGAGGAAGGTTGGACTTGATGATCCTGGAGGTCCTTTCCAACCATGGTGATTCTATGATTCTAGGATCTCAGGCACCCTCTCAGTTTTGCTTCTGTCCTCACTGCTGCATCCTTCTTCAATGTTTCTTGCAGGTTAACAGTCTCTTCCTCCTGGCAAAGATCTACGGGGCTGCTTGGTAACTCTCACTGCTGGAAGCATCACTGCCCATACTTCCCTCCCCTTTGTTCTGCACTGTTGTTTATGCCCATTCTGTTATTACTCTTTTCTCTGAAGTAACTGATCTTTTACAACATCCTCCCATGTTGCTAGCACTCTGTGCCTTGCAGCAGCTCTATCACTTTTCAGCATGGCTGGAAAACAAAGTGCATACCCTCAGAGATGATGAGAATAGAACACAGCTACCAGAATTAAGAAGCAGGCCTATCTCCTTTGAACAGATCTACTGCTCTTACTGCTGGAAAAGTCTAGCCTAAAACAGTTTTGTCAGCCGTCTGTACCTGCATACATGTTATGAGCAAGCTCAGGTTTAAGAACAAATGCAGTTAATTTACATCTTTGTACTCCCAGAAAAAAGGGGAAAACCCTACCCCGTTACAGAAGGAATTAGTTTGCCTTTTCCTTGGTATAATAGCCAACGAGCCCCACCATTATGTACTGCACACACAACCCTTATACTGACATACCTGGGATATTAAGTTGCAGATTTAGTTGCCTTTGAGAAACAGCCTATGATTGTACAATTACAAGTACATTCTTTCTTGGGTATGTTAACTTCTATACCAGTGTGAGCCATGGATATGCCTGGGGCTAATCCTTTCCCACACTGGTCCAATACCTTAACCAGAACACAGCTTTGGGTTTCCCCTAAGTTCCGAGTGCTTACTTCATGTCCAGATGTGTTCCCAGGGCTGTAAGACTGCATGCTCACACAGGTGAAATGAAGCCACATGCGCTGCCTGGAATTTGGGTGTGTGTCAGTGATGCAATCAACACAAGATAGAGTGAGCCAGTGAGCAAGGTATTGGCTCTGCATCCCACTTGTTGGCCAACAGCAAATGAGATGAGCAAAGCAGTACATGGCAACAGTGACTCAAGGAATATGCCTTTTACACAGCAGATGCTTACAGGTAGACAGCTTAATGCAGCCAAAACAAGACTGCACTGTGAAATAAATGTGTGCTTTTGCCATGAGCTCAAGCACGGTGCACCCAAAATCCATATGATATTAAAAATCAAATTAAAAATCCTTCCCTTGCCTTTTCCACAAGAGCACTGAATTCTAGTCTAGTGGACTTCTTGAGCTGGCAGTTCTCTTTTTACCTGTAAATTGACATTGGCATGTATTGCCTAGTTCTATACATAAATTTTTCCCATTTTATTTCTCCTCTCTCTATTGCCCTAGCATACTGAAGGATATGAGAATTGAGTTATATTCTACTGCTCTTCTTAAACATCCAGCTGTCTCAGAACAATGCGACAATCAAAGTACCTCCCTCCTGCCCTACAGCTGTTCACAATCCAGTAAAATAAAATAAAGGACAAACTATTATAGGACAGTTTAAGGCATACAATAATACATACTGCTTTCCTCGATGCTGCTGAGGAACAGCAACAGATACCAAGAGTATTACCTTGTGACCCATGGTCTTGAATTGTAGTAAGTGGTGTAGTATTGCTCGAGTTGTTCGTCTCTTCATTTCACACATAAAAACAAAGAATAAGACAGTTTTAGATGCTTCATTACTAAGAAGTGTAAAAGAAAAAAAGTTAGTACAGCATCTCTCACTTGTTTTGGATGTATAAATGACTGAACTGTCATGGACAGGAGTTAGGTATAATGATGGTATAAAAACACGGTACCACAACATCCTCCTCTTGGCACATTAAAAATTACATTTGCACCACCTAACCACCAAATGAACTGAAACTCCTTCCTCAGTTTTATCTTCCCCATCCTGCTTCTCCTCCTAAGTTCTCTTCTTCCGTGAGATGAAAGGATACTGAAAGAAGTCAGAGGCAGAAAATCAGGTACCTTCTGTGAGTAATAACATAGGACCTGCAGCAGGAAGAAAATAGCTTCTCATGTAAATCTTTTCCTACGAAGTCTGCAAGGCCTTTGCAGACAGACACGTGCCTCTACATGGACAGCATGGTAAGACAAGAAGCTCTACTAAGAAGTTCCATTGCTTAGTTTTGGATTAACAGCATGTTAACAGAGCGACTGAGGACTTGGCAGGTGAGAAGTGGGATAGAGAAGGATCACACCTCTGATGAAATATCATTATACTGAAATGACTAATTGAGGGCCGATTACACCATCCTCAGGCCTGGCCAACAAACAAGTGGTAAAACTGAAAGATGAACCACATAATAACAACTCTGTCATTGACATGCTTGCTTGAGGATCCCTTATGGATTCTGCCTTTGCCAAGCAGAGTTTAATTTTGACCACTTACAATAACATTCTGCGAAAAGCAAGCAAATAATCTCAACTAAGCATCACAGAAATAGGGCATTTTCTTAGTAGTTACAAAACCTTAGTGAAGATCTCTGAATGGTAAAGTTTGCAAACCACTCACTGCATCTTGCCCGTGCAATATCAAGACCAAGGGCAGCACTGCAAGGCATGTTAGAATGTTTAATTAGGGAGTTCAGGGAAAACAAATGAACCAACAAAGTAGGATGGGACACAGCTAAACTAAGCTTCCCCAGGAAGGATCCAATCCTGCAGAACGTGGTCTTCAGCAGAGCTAGTCCATCTGCATTTAACAACGGCCTGACTGAGGAACCTAAACCAACAGAACACTGACATTGCTCCCCTCCCCAACAGCACACAATCAGTTTTGTTGCCTCAACCAGTGGAATGGGCTCCCTGAAGGACTAGATGAAAGAGAGGGGCAGGAACCAGAGGTGGAAGGGAAGACAGGACTGTATTGGTCCTAGTTCAGATCAGCTTGGACTGCACATCTTGAAAGACAGAAGTAAAAAAAATAACCAAACAAAACAACAACAACAACAAAAAAGCAAACAAACCAACCAACCAAACAAAAACACACCACCCCAAAACCAAAAACAACCAAGCAACAAACCCCAGATAGATCTCCATGTTCATTTTTCATGATGAAATAGAACCAAACCAAGGATATACCCAGCCTACAACAATGTACGAAAGCACCACTGGAAAAGGACGTTACGCAGATCAGCAACACAACGTTTTTGTCACACAACTCTTGTTTTCTTCAGTTTAAGGTCGGATGCAGTTAAAAAAAAAAAACAACTTGTGGCTGGCCGGGGTGTATCTGAAGACAAGCGTGCTTCCTGTGGGGCACCACAGCACAGCATGGCATGGCACAGCACACCCAGCACCACCACGGCCTCTCACGGTCCTGGTGCTCTAGTGTGTAACAAGTCCTGAGCTGGAGACCATCTGGAGATGCAAACTTTAAATAGGGGCAAAATCAGGGCAGTTCTTCCAGCTTCGTAGCTGGAATTCAGCTTCCAGAAGTGGCATTCAGACGCAGGAGCTGGAGATCTGTGCTTGCCCTAAACACACGGAGAGGTGCAGGGCAAGTGACAGAGACAGCTCCAATGTTTCTTGAAAACAAACAAAAAACAAAAAGATTTTAAATGAACTTGGTTTGCCAGATCCTGCAAAAATCAATGCACTGGATAACAGCCATGGACCTTTGATATTAGAAATCTGTAATCTCCACCTCAGGCTTGTATTAAATTAGTATTCCCTGTAGATGAAGCCTAGTAGAAGAACCAAACTCTGAGGAATGTCACTACTCATTCAATTCCCTGCATGTGACAGAGGTCAGTTTGCCCACTCCTGCAATCACATTTAAGATAAATACATTTCTAAGGACTCACAGGTTTTACATCTAGTCTAATTAAACTCCGTGATGCAGAACAATACACAAAGATGATGGTGTATAAACTCACAGTTTTACTGAACACAACTTTACACATTCCTTTTGGGAACATTTAAAAAATCACACCTAAAATTCTGTCTGGGCATCTTCTCTTTTCAGGTTTGATGTATCGCAGGTAAGTAGGAGAGTTTTATGCCCGTGCCATTCTGCTTTTGTTGGTTTTAAAATCAAAAAGTACGAAGGGACAAACTACAAATCCAAATCTCTGCTATCTGGAAACTTTATATTTCTTTTCCCTTTGACTTAACAAGGTCTTTTGGTGCCTATTTTTGCTCATCACGAGACAGAGGTCAGGCAGGATTATCTCAGCAACTTTTCAGACAAGGTCCTCATGCCTTAACACTGTGAAACTACCTCACTGCCTTGAAAAGGA